AAGCCAGGATAAAGGAGGAGGGTGCTGTGATAGGCGTGTGACGGCCAACAGTATCACCTAGTCACATCACATGACATGAATCGAAATATGAAAATCGCTAATGCTAGGTCTTCACCCGTAAGTGACGCGTCATCCCTCCGCCTGGGGGTGGTGTCAAATATGCAAGGGCGCGCTACACTTGATAGACCTGGGTGTGGTGATAAGAATGCTAAGGTTGCTAGGTCGCCGCCCAGAAGCGGCGCGTCATCCCATTGCCCGGGGATGATGTCAAATATGCAAGGGCATGGTGGGGTCCGAGATGGGGCTAAGAACAGAAGGTGGAATGCTAGATTGCGTTTTGGGACATGGAATGTTGGGTCTCTTACAGGGAAATCTTCCGAGGTAGTCGAGGTTATGAGCAGAAGGAATATCAGCATTATGTGTGTGCAAGAAACTAAATGGGTTGGACAGAAAGCACACGAGATTAATCCCGGAGGTTTTAAGTTGTGGTATTCGGGGAGAGATAAGACTAGAAATGGGGTAGACATTATTGTGGCGCGTGACTATGTTGAGGATGTGGTAGAAGTCTTCAGGAAGAACGATCGCATCATGAGCATTAAATTGGTGATAAGAGGTGAGATTGTGTTTGTGGTAAGTGCCTATGCACCACAAGTGGGATTGGATGCATCTACAACTCAACAGTTCTGGGAAGATCTTGAAGACGTGGTGCGACAAGTGCCAAGGGGAGAGAAGTTGATCATAGGAGGTGACCTCAACGGGCATGTGGGCTCGAGTCGTGATGACTTTGAGAATATATTCATGGCGGACATGGTTTTGGCATTAGGAATGAGGCGAGAGAACATTTTGGATTTTGCCTTGACGTATGAGTTGGCTATAATGAACACTTGGTTTAAGAAAAGAGACTCTCACCTTGTAACCTATAAAAGTGGAGCTAATAGTACCCAAATTGACTACTTCTTAGTACGGACCACTGGGAGAACTAGCTACACTGATTGTAAGGTTATTCCAGGTGAGAGTGTTGTCACTCAGCATAGGTTGCTTGTGCTTGACTTTCGAGGTAAGAACCATAGAAGACAAGTTAAACAACAAGTGGAGCCAAAGATAAAGTGGTGGAGGCTAGAGGGAGATCTTCAACAAAGCTTTACACACAAAATGGTCGGTGAAGATGTATGGCGTATTGATAATGAAACACAGGTGGATGATGTGTGGTTATCCATGGAGTTGACCATTAACAAAGTGGCAAAGGAGGTACTTGGAGAATCTAAAGGATGTCGGCCACCTAAAAAGGACACATCTTGGTGGAATGATGAGGTGAAACAAGCCATAAGGAACAAAATAGATTGCTACAAAAAGTTGGGGACAAATTGGAGTGATGAGAACATAGAAGCATACAGGGAGGCTAAAAGACAAGCAAAAGAAAGCCGTAAGGGAAGCACGAGGGAAAGTGAACAAGGAGTTGTATGAAAAGTTGGACTCCAAGGAAGGAGAACTAGATATTTATAGACTTGCTCGTCTTCGTGATCGCAGAACTCAAGATATTGCAAAAGTTAAGTGTGTGAAGGATGTTGATCAGAGGATATTAATGGACGACGGAGAGATAAAAGAGAGGTGGAGGTCATACTTTGATACACTATTCAACGGGAACAAAACGCAAGATATCGGCGATTTGTCCATACCAGATTGTATGGTTAACCGTGATTTTGTGAGAAGGATCCAAACAACGGAAGTTAAAGAAGCTCTGAGGAAGATGGGACGGAAAAGAGCAATGGGGTCAGATGGCATACCGATCGAGGCGTCGAGTGGTTAACAAGTTTCTTCAACATGATTTGGAGAAACAACAAGATGCCAACGAGTTGGAGGAAGAGTACGCTTATCCCTTTATTTAAGAATAAAGGTGATGTACAAGAATGTGCCAACTATCAAGGGATTAAGCTTATGAGTCACACCATGAAACTTTGGGAGCGAGTGATTGAGCAAAGACTTCGAAGGACTGTGAAGATTTCAGAGAATCAATTCGGTTTTATGCCTGGTCGCTCAACAACTGAGGTTATTCACCTTCTTCGTCAACTTATGTATAGAGATGCTCATAAGGATCTGCATTTGGTGTTCATTGACTTAGAAAAGGCATATGATAGGGTACCTCGAGAAGTTCTTTGGTGGGCCTTAACTAGGAAAGGCATATCACACAAGTATATCAGCATCATCATGGATATGTATGAGGATTGTACTACAAGTGTTCGTACTAGTGTAGGGAGGACTGAAGAGTTCCCTATTACTATCGGAGTGCACCAAGGATTGGCCTTGAGTCCTTTCTTATTTGCCATAGTCATGGATGAACTTACGAAGTCAATTCAAGACGATATACCGTGGTGCATGATGTTTGCCGACGATATTGTATTGATTGATGAGACGCAATCAGGTCTTAAAGCAAAGTTGGAAGTATGGCGACAAACATTGGAGAATAAGGGTTTCAAACTAAGTCGGATCATGACAGAGTACATGGAGTGCAAGTTTGGTGGAGGTAGAAGTAGTGATAGTAGCGGAATTACTCTGGATGGTAAGGAGATACCAGTCAGCGATATGTTCCGTTACTTGGGCTCCATAATTCAGAAGGACGGTGAGTTAGATGGAGATGTATCCCATAGAATCAGAACAGGGTGGATGAAGTGGAAGAGTGCGTCAGGATTTCTATGCGAGTCTGCGACCGAGGTATGCCGACTAGACTGAAGGGTAAATTTTATAGGACAGCAATTAGGCCTGCATTACTGTATGGCGTAGAGTGTTGGGCGGTGAAACAATATCACATTCAAAAGATGAGTGTGGCAGAGATGCGCATGCTGCGTTGGATATGTGGGCATACTAGGAAGGACCGCGTGAGGAATGAGACAATCAGACAAAGGGTGGGAGTAGTACCTATTGAAGACAAGATGCGGGAGTCGCGCCTACGGTGGTTTGGTCATGTGCGTAGAAGACCGAGTGATGCACCTGTTAGGCGAGTTGAGATGTGTGGAGAAGAGGCAGGGAAGAGAGGGAGAGGAAGACCCAAACAGACGTGGGTTAGGGGAGTTCGAAGCGATATGCTTCTTCTGGGGTTGGATGAGGGCATGACTTTGGAGAGAACTAAGTGGACGGCGGGTATTCACGTGAAGGAGTGATCTTGATAATCTTTTTCCCTCATCTTTTTTTCCTAGTTTTTTTATCCTTATATATATATGCATTATTTGCAGCCTTTTTATTTTATCATTTCTATATATATTCATCTTTTTTATATGATCTTTTCATAATAGTTTATCTTTTTATCTTTATTCCTTCTTTTCCTTTTGGTTGTGATATCATGTATCGATTCATGTTAGCCGACACCAATATCTTTTGGGACTAAGGCTTGGATGTTGTTGTTGTTGTTGTTTGGAATTTTGAGTTTGGAGAACTCGATGTTTAGGATTTCGACATTCTGAAAGATTTCGAGATTTTTGGAATTTTCTCGATGTTTTGAATCTTTCAAAGTTTGCAGTTTCTTGAAACTCATAATTTTTCGAATCTTGACATTCTTGGCAGTTCATCGAAGCTTCACATTATAGGATTTCTGAATAATTCCCTGCTTATCAAAGTTTTTAGAAGTTTTCGATGTTCTGATGTTTTTCAAACAACAAGTTTTCGATATTATAAGGTTTTTGAAACTCCAAAGTTTTCGATGTTCCAAACATTTTGAAATTCTGAAGATTTCGTTATTCTGAGGTTTGTTTTGCAGGTGGATTTCATCGTTATTCTTCGAGGCAAACTCGAGATTGTAATCTCGAGATTTAAACCTCGAGATTGTAATCTCGAAGTTTAAACTCGAGATTAGGTTTTCGAGGTATTGCCTTAGATTTTTCTTAATCCCACCTGTTCTCGATATTCAACATCGAAAATCTTAACTTCGAAAAATTCCTCAAAAACTCAAAATTTTCGAGATTTTCTGCGACACCGCATTGTTTTGGCCATACTTTTGACTTGGTGATCCGATTCAAGCGAATCTTTTTTTGTTGGAAAGCTAACGAAATGATCTACATTTATTGAAAGCTAAAACGTTAGTTTTACCCAGAACCCACTTTCTGGGAAAACTTTAGTTTTCCGACAAACTTTGTATATCACAGATGTCAAGGTCAAAACTTAGGCAAATCTGTTCAAATTCTTCCAAAGTCAAACCTAAGGGCTAAACTGCACTGTAGAGGTCCGAAAATCGTAGATAATTCAATCAACCTCACGTCAACGGTCATTCTACAACAATCAACAATCAACTGTTGAAGCCTCCCCTAACTCATCAATATTGTGTGATCCTCAAACGTGCTGAAATTCCAAATTAAGAGCTTAGGGAAACCGTCATGTGTGGTACTTGTTCAGATTGCTCCACACACATGGAGGGTATGATGAGCTGTGAGCAATCAATCCTTTCACATTCTGAGGGGGAGTTTCAGTTTTCTCCTCCTAGCGCCTTACACCGACAAAGCAAGGAATCTCTCAACGGATGCAACACTTTAGGGGGAGTGTTCAATGTTATCCTCCTCGGTGACTAACAATGACAAAGCATACCGAGTGCTCCAGTTGAGGGTGAGTACAGAGAGAAAATCAAGAAAGTAATGAGAGAACATGTCCCAATGGCTTGGTAAACCCAATTAAGCCTACCCAAGGGACAAAGTTGAGCGTAAGTGAGTGAGTGAACGAGTGAGTGAACATTATGAGCATGAGGAAGCAGCATGCTCAAGTGAGCAAAGAAACAATAATCAAAGTTTTATATTAATATTCTTTCTTCATTGCTTTTAAATGTAAAATTTCTCAGAGACTAGTAAATAGTTGTTTCAGTAGTTAAGAAGAAATCTCTAGGCTCTTAACCCAATAAATTCAACCAAAATACCATTTATATTAGGGTTTGATGGCCTTTCCAAAAAAAATACATCTGCCCAACCAAAACAACGAGTTAAGAAATTAGTTTTATATTAATATTCTTTCTTCATTGCTTTTAAATGTAAAATTTCAAAAACGTAGACATAATAGAGCTTAACTGGAAAATAAACTCATTATTTGCAAGAAACGAAGTATGATCGGTGTTTGAAAAATAAAAACCAAACTAAGCCAATCCGAGATGAGTTTAAACACACTGCAAGTAATCAAACTTATGCTGTGAAAATAAAACATGAAAAGTCAAACACTCACCTTAGCTTTATAATGCGCACTCCTAAATCCAGTTTCACAATGCTCGGAGCTTCACCGTACACGTCTGCGACCTATATAAAGCCAAAGATCTTGTTAAATGATTTTAAACGCACTGCAAAGCAATCAAACTTACACACTTCAAATAACTTAGACAATAAACTTGACAAACTTTTATCTAAAATTGAATATGTGATTCTCCAGATGCTTGGCCATCTAGATTTTTGAGTAAATATGAGTAAATTTACGAGACTAGTAAAGAGTTGTAAAGTTTTTTGGAAGGAGGTTCTCGGGATCTTTATACAAACTTAAAGAATTCAATTAACTACCATTTATCTTAAGATTTGATGGGCTTTGGAAAAAGTTGGTAGAGACCAAGCATAACTACCATTATTCTTTCACTATTGCTTTTAAATGTAAAATTTAAAAAAAGGAAGACTTCAAGCCCAACTAGAAAAAATTCATGATTAGTAACAAACGAAGTATGATTAGTACTGTTTAGGTGTTTTTAACAGATAACTAAAACAGCATGTAACAGATCAGAGTATATATAACACTTTGGTTGTTCAAGCAACAAACAATACAACACAGAAGAATAAGGACATCAACCTGCTACTAATTACAAAAGTAATTTAACAACAATATCAAAAAGAATTTCAACTTTTCTTACATGAATTCTTTTTAGAACTATGAAATTTTTTAGTTATAAACAACAAAATAAAGGGAAGATAAAACTTTTGAACAAACAAACTTAAACTCACAATATCAAAAAAAAAACTAACGCTTGCAATAAAGTCATTCTTGTCAATTACTAGAAACTAAAAATCACAACACTTACTCAGTCTGAATCACCCACGCCTACCTCCAACTTCAATGTGCTCGAATCTTGATGTTGTGCTACTGTGTATGACCTACGTAAAGCCAAACAAACCCCAAACGGATTTTTTTTAAAAACTGAAGGGGAAAATATATCATACAATAAACTTAACAAACTATGTGATTACATTGCTTTACAACTTTCTCAACGATAGCCTGTTCGTAAAATTAAAACCAAATAAGGCTAATCCGAGATGATTTTAAACACACCGCCAAATAATCAAACTTATTCATTTCTTCACTAAAATAAAAACCACGACACTCACCTAAGCCCGATGACACCCACTCTTACTTCATAGAGCTCCAACCTCCGCCATATGCATCTGCAGCCAATATAAATAAAAGCACAATCCGAAACAATTTTAAACACCACCAAATAATTAAACTTCCGCTCTGAAAATAAATTTAAAATAAACTTTACAAACTCTTATATATATAAAGTAATTTCAGATTCTCTTGACGCTAGCCCATCTAGATGGTCGAATAAATATGAGTGAATTTCAGAGACTAGTAAATAGTTGTTTCAGTAGTTAAGAAGAAAGCTTCCGGCTCTTAACCCAATAAATTCAATCAAATACGATTTATCTTAAGGTATGATGGCCTTTGCAAAAAATATAAAACTGCACACCCAAAACTGCGAGTAGAGAAATTAGTTCTAAATTACTATTCTTTCTTCACTGCTTTTAAATGTAAAATATCAAGAAGGTAGACATAATATAGCTTAACTGGTGAATTGCAAGAAACGAATTATGATCAGTGTTCGAAAAAAATAAAAACCAAACTAAGCCAATCCGAGATGAGTTTAAACACACTACAAATAATCAAACTTATGCTGTGAAAATAAAACATGAAAAGTCCAACACTCACCTTAGCTTTATAATGCCCACTCCTAAATCCAGTTTCACAATGCTCGGAGCTTTCACAGTACGCGTCTGCGACCTAAATAAAGCCAAACACAATCCGAAATGATTTTAAGCGCACTGCAAACTTAGACAATAAACTTAACAAACTTTTATATATAAAATCGAATATCCGATTCTCCAGATGCTTGGCCATCTAGATTTTTGAGTAAATATGAGTAAATTTACGAGACTAGTAAAGAGTTGTAAAGTTTTTTTAAAGGAGGTTCTCGGGATCTTTATACTAACTTAAAGAATTGAATTAACTACCATTTATCTTAAGATTTGATTGGCTTTGGAAAAAGTTGGTAGAGACGAAGCATAACTACCATTATTCTTTCACTATTGCTTTTAAATGTAAGATTTTAAGAAAGGTAGACTTCAAGCCCAACTGTTTAGGAGTTTTTAACTGATAACTAAAACAGCATGTAATAGATCGGAGTATATATAAAACTTTGGTTGTTCTAGCAACAAACAATACAACACAAAAGAATAAGGACATCAACCTGCACCTAATTACAAAAGTAATTTAACAAAAAGTATTCATTCATTAAACCTTATCGATAGAATAACCCTACTGATCGTAGTAATACTAACACACTCTGAAAAAACTTCACTTAATACTTTAGGATTTTGAATATCAACTTCTTACATGAAAAGTCCAACACTCACCTTAGCTTTATAATGCCCACTCCTAAATCCAGTTTCACAATGCTCAGAGCCTCACCGTACGGGTCTGCGACCTATATAAAGCCAAACATAATGTTAAATGATTTTAAATGCACTGCAAAGCAATCAAATTTACGCACTTAAAATAACTTAGACAATAAACTTAACAAACTTTTATATAAAATTGGATATGTGAATCTCCAGATGCTTTGCCATCTATAGATTTTTGAGTAAATATGAGTAAATTTACGAGACTAGTAAAGAGTTGTAAGGTTTTTTGGAAGGAGGTTCTCAGGATCTTTATACTAACTTAAAGAATTCAATTAACTACCATTTATCTTAAGATTTGATGGGCTTTGGAAAAAGTTGGTAGAGACCAAGCATAACTACCATTATTCTTTCACTATTGCTTTTAAATGTAAAATTTAAAAAAAGGAAGACTTCAAGCCCAACTAGAATAAACTCAAGATTTGTAAGAAACGAAGTATGATTAGTACTGTTTCGGTGTTTTTAACAGATAACTAAAACAGCATGTAACAGATCGGAGTATATATAACACTTTGGTTGTTCAAGCAACAAACAATACAACACAGAAGAATAAGGACATCAACCTGCTACTAATTACAAAAGTAATTTAACAAAAAGTATTCATTCATACAACCTCACTACGAAAATATTTCACTAAATACTTTAGGATTCTGAATATCAACTTTTCTTACATGAATTCTTTTTAGAACTATGAAAATTTTTAGTTATAAACAACAAATTACAGAGATGAAAAAACTTTTTAACAAACAAACTTAAACTCACAATATAAAAAAAAAAGCTGACAATCACCTACGCCTACCTCCAACTTCAATGTGCTCGAATCTTGATGTTGCGCTTCGGTGTGTAACCTGTGTAAAGCCAAACAAACCCGGAACTGATTTTTAAAAAACACTAACGGGAAAATAAATCATGCACTGAACTTAACAAATTTTGTGAATGAATTGCTTTACAACTTTCTCAGCGTTAGCCCGCTCGTAAAATCAAAAACAAAGAAGGCCAATCCGAGATAATTTTAGACACACCGACAAATAATCAAACTTATTCATTTCTTCCCTAATATAAAAACCACAACACTCACCTAAGCCCAATAACACCCACTCCTAAATTGAACTTCATAGTACTCCAACCTACGTCATATGCATCTGCGACATGTATAATAAACTTACGCTCTAGAAGCTAGCCCATCTAGATGGTCGAATAAATATGAGTGAATTTCGAAGACTTGTAAATAGTTGTTAAAGTTGTTCAGAAGAAAGCTCTCGGGTCTTAACTCAATAAATTCAATCAAATACCATTTATCTTAAGGTTTGATTGCCTTTGTAAAAAATATACAACTGCACACCCCAAACTGCGAGTAGAGAAATTAGTTCTAAATTACTATTCTTTCTTCACTGCTTTTAAATGTAAAATATCAAGAAGGTAGACATAATATAACTTAACTGGAAAATAAACTCATGATTTGCAAGAAACGAAGTATGATCAGTGTTCGAAAAAAAAAACCAAACTAAGCAAATCCGAGATGAGTTTAAACACACCGCAAATAATCAAACTTATGCTGTGAAAATAGAACATGAAAAGTACAACACTCACATTAGCTTTATAATGCCCACTCTTAAATCCAGTTTCACAATGCTCAGAGCTTCATCGTACGCGTCTGCGACCTATATAAACCCAAACACAATCCGAAATGATTTTAAAGGCTCTGCAAAGCAATCAAACTTACGCAATGAAAATAAATTAGACAATAAACGTAACAAACTTTTATATGAAATTGGATATCCAATTCTCCAGATGCTTGTCCATCTAGATTTTTTAATAAATATGAGTAAATTTCCGAGACTAGTAAAGAGTTGTAAAGTTGTTTGGAAGGAGGTTCTCAAAATCATTATACTAACTTTAAGAATTCAATTAACTACCCTTCATCTTAAGATTTAATGGGCTTTGGAAAAAGTTGGTAGAGACCAAGCATAACTACCATTATTCTTTCACTATTGCTTTCCAATGTAAAATTTAAAAAAAGTTAGACATCATGCGCAACTAGAAGAAACTCATGATTTGTAAGAAACAAAGTATGATTAGTGATGTTTAGGAGTTTTAACTGAGAACTAAAACAACATGTAACAGATCGGAGTATATATAACACTTTGGTTGTTCTAGCAACAAACAATAATCCACAAAAGAATAAGGACATCAACCTGCAACTAATTACAAAAGTAATTTAACAAAAAGTATTCATTCATTTAACCTTATCGATAGAATAACCCTCCTGATCGTAGTAATACTACCTCACTCCGAAAAAACTTCACTTTATACTTTAGGATTCTGAATATCAACTTTTCTTACATGAATTCTTTTTAGAATTCTTTTTAGAACTATGATCAATTTTAGTTGTTAACAACAAATTCCAAGGATCATATATATATTTTAAACAAACAAACTTATAACTCACAATATCAAAAAAAAAACTAATGCTTGCAATAAAGTCTTTCTTCTCAATTACTACAGAATGAGAAGTTAGTTTTAAATTAATATTCTTTCTTCACTGTTTTCAAATGTAAAATTTCAAAACGGTAGACATAATAGAGCTTAACTGGAAAATAAACTCATGATTAGCAAGAAATGAAGTATGATCAGTGTTTGAAAAAATAAAATCCAAACTAAGCCAATCCGAGATAAGTTTAGACACACTGCAAATAATCACACTTATAATGTGAAAATAAAACATGAAAAGTACAACACTCACCTTAGCTTTATAATGCCCACTCCCAAATCCAGTTTCACAATGCTCAGAGCTTCGTCGTACGCGCCTGCGACCTATGTAAAGCCAAACACAAACCGGAATGATTTTAAACGCACCGCAGAAACTTCCGCAATGAAAATAAACAAACGGAAGATCCGAAATGATTTTAAATGAAGTCATAACATGGTATAACATTTGTTAATACCCACCACTCTATTTTTACACAGAAATATAATGACAAGAGGCGCCTAAAGAGAACAAAGGCATAACATATATATACACCTGCATTTATCATGTAACATCTCTCAAGCATCCAGCTTTTCCTCATCCAAGAGTGTGCTCTTGATTGCCTTCTCAGGATGGGCAAATCTCGGGTTACTAAAAGTCCAAAGCTTAACAACTGCAATGCCCATATAAAATTTTCCCATGTTGAGAAGGAATTGAAAAAGAGTAACACAATAACAAGGGAAAAAACGTTAACAGGGTTCAGTTTCACGGTGAGACTTTTACCTTTAAAGCAGAGAAATAGTCCAGATCATTGTTAGTTTTGCAACCCTTCTAGTGAGTCCTGCCAAAAAAAGTCAAACTTGAAATGTTGCAAAGAATGTGCCTTAGCTTCCATGTTTGTGAACTTCCGCAAGAACTTTTAAGGTCCTGCAGATCAAGAAACAAAAGGTAATAGAAGCACACAAGTATGCCTGAAATTACAGCAACCTGAGCATCCACGAATCTACACAAGATGATAAATATAACTTAAGTGGCAAGTAAGATCATAAACAAAAGCACTGATTCAGGTTCCATGCTTTTAGAGTGTCTATGTTTTAATATCTGCTCCTGGAAGACAGCAAGGTATGTGTCATTAAACAGGGTCTGAACTATTGATGATCTAATTCGCAGTGTAATCTAGACAAGCATTTGTAATCATGCATAATTTCTAAACTATGCTTGGAACGTACTTCTTCTAGTGCACTTCCCATATACGTCCTGCCGAAATCTTCTCTACTGCCTGAAAAGTAATGAACGGTCAAAGATAAGCAAAAAAGAAAAAGATATTATTAACCACTTTATAGTTTTCCAGGCTTGGGAACTTACTCTAGGAACTTGAACCTCAGATTTCTATCAAGAATGTGTTCCATCAAGGGGTACCATCAGCAGGTTCAAGCTATCACTGGCACCAATATGTGCTTACCAAGAATGATGCTGCTAGGTAAGACTTGGCGAAACATTTGGTGTTGGAGACTTCGGTTATCTCACGAAACTATACTCAGATTAGGCAAATCCGAATCATCCAGCCAGTAGACTATTCACATTTAGACCTTTTCGATTGGGCTTCTTTTGAATTAGTTTATCCTGTTCAGAAAAACAAAATCAATAGGCACAAAAGAAAAGTGTTCATGTAGGACTAGTAGTAGTAAACAAACGGAAGATAATTTCTTATTGATACCACGCAGGAATTATAACATGGTATAACACTTGTTAATACTCACCACTCTATTTTTAAACAGAAATATTATAACAAGAGGCGCCTAAAGAGAACAAAGGCATAACATATATATACACCTGCATTTGTCATGTAACATCTCTCAAGCATCCTGCATTTCTTCATCCAAGAGTGTGCTCTTGATTGCCTTCTCACGATGGACAAATCTCGGGTTACTAAAAGTCCAAATCTTACAACTGCAATGCCCCTATAAAATTTTCCCATGTTGAGAAGGAATAGAAAACAAATAATACATAACAACGGAAAAAACATTAACAGGGTTCACTTTCACCTTTAAAGCAGAGAAATGGTCCAGATCATTGTCAGTTTTGCAAACATTCTAGTGAGTCTTGCCAAAAAAAACGTCAAACTGGAATTCTTGCAATGAATGTGCCTAGGCTTCCTTGATTGTGATCTTCCAAAAGAACTTTTAAGGTCCTGCAGAATCGAGAAACAAAAGGTAAAAGAAGCACACAACAAGTATGCCTGAAATTAAAGCAACCTGAGCATCCAAGAATCTACACAAAATGATAAATATAGCTTAAGAGGCCTGTAAGATGCGTACTGAATTGTCAAACAAATCTATCTAATGAAAAAGGATATGTACATGAAATTCCACCCCATTGGTGAAATTGCATACATGTTTCTCAACACAGAAACCAAGTATTAGTTATGACAATATATCAATGTCTCATAGTTCATGTAAGATCATAAACTAAAGCACTGATTCAACTTCCATGTTTCTAGAGTGTCTATGTTTTAATATCTGCTCCTGGAAGACAGTAAGTTATGTGTCATGAAACAGGGCCTGAACTATTGATGATCGAATGCGCAGTGTTATCTAGAGAAGCATATGTAATCATGTAACAAAAAGTGCAGATAAAAATGTTCATAGGGAAGTAAGTAAAAAAAATAGAACTGCATATCACACAAAGCATATGTAATTGAGCAACAAAAAACTGAATCTGTGGCTATTGGTGGTGAAATGAAAGATCAAATAAGTAGAAACAACAAAAAACTGTATATTATTTCTGGTGAGAGAAAACTTACAAAACAATTTAGTTGAATAATTTCAAAGCCTTGCTTAACGTATTATTTCAGTGCCATCACTCTACAAATAGCTCATTCCAAAACCTTCTATACTGCCTGAAAACTGAAAAGTAGTGAACGGTTAAAGATATACAAATATGAAAAATATACTAATGACTTATCTTTACTTTTACATGATTGATAAACTTACTTTAGGAACAATTGTTTTCGCAGGGCTAGGCTTTCACACCTCATGAACAAAGCAACAGCACTGGGACATGTGTTTTTGTTTTGTTTGTTTTTTTCGCCGTTTGTTTTTGTATTTGTTTTCTTTTTTTGTTTTTTTTTCTTTTTGCTTTTTTGTTTTCTATTTTTTTTTATCTTTTCTTTTTTTAGGTTTTTGCATCCATATTTTCATCAAAAACAATTTCATCGGTACACGCCTTTCCCTCTCCTGATGACAATTTCGAACTCAAGATTTAACATTTCCTTTTCCTTTTCATTTAAAAGATTCAAGCTTCTTTGGCATTCCATCCAGTAGAACATTTCTTATTTTGATCTCTCGTATTGGCCTTCATTTGTTCATCCTGTTCAGAAGGAAAATCACAAGGCAGGAAAGATAAGTGCTAACGTAACAATAGTAAATACAAGAATGATATGTTATTTATTGATACCACTTCAGAATAACATATGCACTTATCAAATGGTCTAACGTATGAGCCTATAATCACGTAAAATCATTTAGGGTCCGGTCCCATCAGTTAGCTCTCTATCGAAAATTAGTATTTGACTAATTATCTAATTGCATTCATGTTCAAGTTTGTATTGCTGAATAGGCTGTTAGTGATTGTGACATGATGATCAAATAATTAGAAAAGAAAAAATATATAACTTCTTGCTTGAGGGAGATGACTTACCGAACAATTTAGTTGCATAATTTCTAAACTATGCTTGGAACGTACTTCTTCTAGTGCCATCACTCCCCATATAACTCCTACCAAAATCTTCTCTACTGCCTGAAAAGCAGTGAACGGTCAAAGATATGCAAAAAAGAAAAAGATATTATGAACAACTTTACAGTTTTCCAGGCTTGACAAACTTACTCTAGGAACTTGAACCTCAGATTTCTAGCAAGACTGTGTCCCATCAAGGGGTACCATCAGCAGGTTCAAGCTATCACCGGCACCAATATGCGCTTACTAAGAATTCTGCTCTTGATCCAAGCTACCACCGGTATTTGTCATGTAACATCTCTCAAGCATCCTGCATTTCTTCATCCAAGAGTGTGCTCTTGATTGCCTTCTCACGATGGGCAAATCTCGGGTTACTAAAAGTCCAAATCTTACAACTGCAATGCCCATATAAAATTTTCCCATTTTGAGAAGGAATAGAAAACGAATAATACAATAACAACGGAAAAAACAATAACAGGGTTCAGTTTCACCTTTAAAGCAGAAAAATGGTCCAGATCATTGTCAGTTTTGCAACCCTTCTAGTCACTCTTGCCAAAAAAACGTCAAACTGGAATTTTTGCAATGAATGTGCCTTGGCTTCCATGATTGTGAACTTCCGCAAGAACTTTTAAGGTCCTGCAGAATCAAGAAACAAAAGGTAAAAGAAGCACACAAGTATGCCTGAAATTACAGTAACCTGAGCATCCACAAATCTACACAAAATGGTAAATATAGCTTAAGAGGCAGGTGTAAGATGCTTACTGAATTGTCAAACAAATCTATCTTGTGAAAAAGGATATGTACATGAAATTCCACCCCATTGGTGAAATTGCATACACGTTTTTCAACACAGAAACCAACTATCAGTTATGACAATATATCAATGTCTCATACTTCATGTAAGATCATAAACAAAAGCACTGATTCAGGTTCCATGTTTCTAGAGTGTCTATGTTTTAATATCTGCTCCTGGAATACAGTAGGGTATGTGTCATGAAACAGGGCCTGAACTATGGATGATCTAATTCGCTGTGTAATCTAGAGAAGCATATGCAATCATGCAACAAAAAATGCAGATAAAAATGTTCAAAGGGAAGTAAAAAAAATAGAACTGCATATATCACACAAAGCTTATGTAATTGAGCAACAAAAAACTGAATCTTTGGCTATTGGTGGTGAAATGAAAGATCAAATAAGTAGAAACAACAAAAAACTATAAATTATTTCTGGTGGGAGAAAACTTACAAAACAATTTAGTTGAATAATTTCAAAGCCTTGCTTACCGTACTACTTCAGTGCCATTACTCTACAAATAGCTCATCAAGGGGTACCATCAGCAGGTAAGACTTGGCGAAACATTTGGTGTTGGAGACTTCGGTTATCTCACGAAACTATACTCAGATTAGGCAAATCTGAATCATCCAGCCAGTAGGCTACTCACATTTGGACCTTTTCGATTGGGCTTCTTTTGAATTAGTTTATCCTGTTATCCTGTTCAGAAAAACAAAATCAATAGGCACAAAAGAAAAATGTTCATGTAGGACTAGTAATAGTAAACAAACGGAAGATAATTTCTTATTGATACCACTCAGGAATTATAAGATGGTATAACACTTGTTGATACCCACCACTCTATTTTTAAACAGAAATATTATGACAAGAGGCGCCTAAAGAGAACAAAGGCATAACATATATATACACCTGCATTTATCATGTAACATCTCTCAAGCATCCTGCGTTTCATCATCCCAGAGTGTGCTCTTGATTGCCTTCTCACGATGGGCAAATCTCGGGTTACTAAAAGTCCAAATCTTACAACTGCAATGACCATATAAAATTTTCACATGTTGAGAAGGAATGGAAAACGAATAATACAATAACAACGGAAAAAACATTAACAGGGTTCAGTTTCACCTTTAAGGCAGAAAAATGGTCCAGATCATTGTCAGTTTTGCAACCCTTTTAGTGACTCTTGCCAAAAAAAACGTCAAACTGGAATTCTAGCAATGAATGTGCCTTGGCTTCCATGATTGTGAACATTCGCAAGAACTTTTAAGGTCCTGCAAAATCAAGAAACAAAAGGTAAAAGAAGCACACAACAAGTATGCCGCCTGAAATTACAGCAATCTGAGCATCCACGAATTTATACAAAATGATAAATATAGCTTAAGAGGCAGGTGTAAGATGCGTACTGAATTGTCAAACAAATCTATCTTATGAAAAAGGATACGTACATGAAATTCCACCCCATTGGTGAAATTGCATACATGTTTCACAACACAGAAACCAACTATCAGTTATGACAATTTATCAATGTCTCATACTTCATGTAAGATCATAAACAAAAGCACTGATTCAGGTTCCATGTTTCTAGAGTGTCTATGTTTTAATATCTGCTCCTCGAAGAGAGTAAGGTATGTGTCATGAAACAGGGCCTGAACTATTTATGATATAATTCGCAGTGTAATCTAGAGAAGCATATGTAATCATGCAACGAAAAATGCAGATAAAAATGTTCAAAGGAAGTAAAAAAAAATAGAACTACATATCACACAAAGCATATGTAACTGAGCAACAAAAAACTGAATCTGTGGCTATTGGTGGTGAAATGAAAGATCAAATAAGTAGAAACAACAAAAAACTACAAATTATTTCTGGTGGGAGAAAACTTACAAAACAATTTAGTTGAATAATTTCAAAGCCTTGCTTAACGTACTACTTCAGTGTCATCACTCTACAAATAGCTCATTCCAGAACATTCTGTACTGCCTGAAAACTGAAAAGTAATGAACGGTTAGAGATATACTAATACGAAAAATATACTAAAGAGTTATCTTTACTTCTCAACGATTGATAAACTTACTTTAGGCACAATTGTTTTCGCATGGATAGGCTTTCACACCTCATGAACAAAGCAACACCACTGGGACATAAGTTTTTTTTTTTTTATTTCGCCCTTTTTTTGTATTTGTTTTCTTTTTTTTTTGGTTTTCTATTTTTTTTTTTTTTGCTTTTTTGTTCTCTATTCTTTTTTTTTTTGCTTTTCTGTTTTCTTTTTTTTGTTCGTTTCTTTTTTTTAGGTTTTTGTATCCATTTTTTCGTCAAAAACAATTTCATCGGTACGCACCTTCCCTCTCCTCATGGCAATTTCGAACTCAAGATTTAACATTTCCTTTTCCTTTTAATTTAAAAGATTCAGGCTTCATTGGCATTCCATCCAGTAGAACACTTCTTATTTTGATCTCTCGTATCGGCCTTCATTTGTTCATCCTGTTCAGAAGGAAAATCACAAGGCAGGAAAGATAAGTGCTAATGTTAGAATAGTAAACACAAGGATGCTAAGTATTTTATTGATACCACTTCAGAATTACATATGCACTTATGAAATGATCTAACGTATGAGCCTATAATCACTTAAAATCATTTAGGGTCCCATCAGTCAAGCTCTCTATCGAAATTTAGTATTGGACTAATTATCTAATTGCATTCATGCTCATGATTGTACAGCTGAATGGGCTGTTAGTGATTGTGACTTGAAGATCAAATAATTAGAAAGGAAAAAAAAATATAACTTCTTGCTTGAGGGAAGATGACTTACCGAACAATTTAGTTGCATAATTTCTAAACTATGCTTGGAACGTACTTCTTCCAGTGCCATCACTCCCCATATAACTCCTACCGAAATCTTCTCTACTGCCTGAAAAGCAGTGAACGGTCAAAGATATGCAAATAAGAAAAATATATTATTAACCACTTTATAGTTTTCCAGGCTTGACAAACTTACTCTAGAAACTTGAACCTCAGATTTCTAGCAAGACTGTGTCCCATCAAGGGGTACCATCAGCAGGTTCAAGCTATCACTGGCACCAATATGTGCTTACCAAGAATTCTGCTGCTAGGTAAGACTTGGCGAAACATTTGGTGATCAGACTTCGGTTTCTCACGAAACTATACTCAGATTAGGCAAATCCGAATCATCCAGCCAGTAGACTACACACATTTGGACCTTTTCGATTGGGCTACTTTTGAATTAGTTTATCCTGTTTAGAAAAACAAAATCAATAGGCACAAAAGAAAAATGTTCATTTAGGACTAGTAATAGTAAACAAACGGAAGATAATTTTTTATTGATACAACTCAGGAATTATAACATGGTATAACACTTGTTAATACCCACCATTCTATTTTTAAACAGAAATATTATGACTATAGGCGCCTAAAAAGAACAAAGGCATAACATATATATACACCTGCATTTATCATGTAGCAACTCTCAAGCATCTTGCGTTTCTTCATCCCAGAGTGTGCTCTTGATTACCTTCTCACGATGGGCAAATCTCGGGTTACTAAAAGCCCAAATCTTACAACTGCAATGCCCATATAAAATTTTCCCATGTTGAGAAGGAATAGAAAGTGAATAATACAATAACAACGGAAAAAACATTAACAGGGTTCAGTTTGACCTTTAAAGCAGAGAAATGGTCCAGATCATTGTCAGTTTTGCAACCCTTTAGTGACTCTTGCCAAAAAACGTCAAACTGGAATTCTTGCAATGAATGTGCACAATTGTGTTCGCATGGATAGGCTTTCACACGTAATGAACAAAGCAACCTGGGACATAAGTTTTTGTTTTTTTTTATTTCACCTTTTTTTTGTATTTGTTTTCTTTTTTTTGGTTTTCTATTTTTTTTTTTTTGCTTTTTTGTTCTCTATTCTTTTTTTTTGCTTTTCTGTTTTCTTTTTTTTTGTTCTTTTCTTTTTGTTTTAGGTTTCTGTATCCATTTTTTCGTCAAAAACAATTTCATCGGTACACGCATTCCCTCTCCTAATGCAATTTCAAACTCAAGATTTAACATTTCCTTTTCATTTAAAAGATTCAGGCTTCATTGGCATTCCATCCAGTAGAACACTTCTTATTTTGATCTCTCGTATTGGCCTTCATTTGTTCATCCTGTTCAGAAGGAAAATCACAAGGCAGGAAAGATAAGTGCTAATTTTAGAATAGTAAACACAAGGATGATAAGTATTTTATTGAAACCACTTCAGAATTACATATGCACTTATGAAATGATCTAACGTATGAGCCTATAATCACTTAAAATCATTTAGGGTCCCATCAGTCAAGCTCTCTATCGAAATTTAGTATTGGACTAATTATCTAATTGCATTCATGCTCATGATTGTACAGCTGAATGGGCTGTTAGTGATTGTGACATGCAGATCAAATAATTAGAAAGGAAAAAATATATAACTTCTTGCTTGATAGAGATGACTCACCGAACAATTTAGTTGCATAATTTCTAAACTATGCTTGGAACGTACTTCTTCTAGTGCCATCACTCCCCATATAACTCCTGCCGAAATCTTCTCTACTCCCTGAAAAGCAGTGAACGGTCAAAGATATGCAAAAAAGAAAAAGATATTATTAACCACTTTACAGTTTTCAATGCTTGCCAAACTTACTCTAGGAACTTGAACCTCAGATTTCTAGCAAGACTGTGTCCCATCAAGGGGTACCCATCAGCAGGTTCAAGCTATCACTGGCACCAATATGTGCTTACCAAGAATTCTGCTGCTAGGTAAGACTTGGCGAAACATTTGGTGATGAGACTTCGGTTTCTCACGAAACTATACTCAGATTAGGCAAATCCGAATCATCCAGCCTGTAGACTACACACATTTGGACCTTTTCGATTGGGCTACTTTTGAATTAGTTTATCCTGTTTAGAAAAACAAAATCAATAGGCACAAAAGAAAAATGTTCATGTAGGACTAGTAATAGTAAACAAACGGAAGATAATTTTTTATTGATACAACTCAGGAATTATAACATGGTATAACACTTGTTAATACCCACCATTCTATTTTGAAACAGAAATATTGTGACTAGAGGCGCCTAAAAAGAACAAAGGCATAACAGATATATACACCTGCATTTATCATGTAACAACTCTAAGGCATCTTGCGTTTCTTCATCCCAGAGTGTGCCCTTGATTGCCTTCTCACGATGGGCAAATCTCGGGTTACTAAAAGTCCAAATCTTACAACTGCAATGCCCATATAAAATTTTCCCATGTTGAGAAGGAATAGAAAATGAATAATACAATAACAACGGAAAAAACATTAACAGGGTTCAGTTTGACCTTTAAAGCAGAGAAATGGTCCAGATCATTGTCAGTTTTGCAACCCTTTAGTGACTCTTGCCAAAAAAACGTCAAACTGGAATTCTTGCAATGAATGTGCACAATTGTTTTCGCATGGATAGGCTTTCACACCTCATGAACAAAGCAACAGCACTGGGACATAAGTTTTTGTTTTTTTTATTTCACCTTTTTTTTGTATTTGTTTTCTTTTTTTTTGGTTTTCTATTTTTTTTTTTTTGCTTTTTTGTTCTCTTTTCTTTTTTTTTGCTTTTCTGTTTTCTTTTTTTGTTCTTTCCTTTTTTTTTAGGTTTTTGTATCCATTTTTTCGTCAAAAACAATTTCATCGGTACACGCCTTCCCTCTCCTAATGCAATTTCGAACTCAAGATTTAACATTTTCTTTTCCTTTTCATTTAAAAGATTCAGGCTTCATTGGCATTCCATCCAGTAGAACACTTCTTATTTTGATCTCTCGTATTGGCCTTCATTTGTTCATCCTGTTCAGAAGGAAAATCACAAGGCAGGAAAGATAAGTGCTAATTTTAGAATAGTAAACACAAGGATGATAAGTATTTTAATGATACCACTTCAGAATTACATATGCACTTATGAAATGATCTAACGTATGAGCCTATAATCATTTAAAATCATTTAGGGTCCCATCAGTCAAGCTCTCTATCGAAATTTAGCATTGGACTAATTATCTAATTGCATTCATGCTCATGATTGTACAGCTGAATGGGCTGTTAGTCATTGCGACATGAAGATCAAATAATTAGAAAGGAAAAAATATATAACTTCTTGCTTGATGGAGATGACTTACCGAACAATTTAGTTGCATAATTTCTAAACTATGCTTGGAACGTACTTCTTCTAGTGCCATCACTCCCCATATAACTCCTGCCGAAATCTTCTCTACTCCCTGAAAAGCAGTGAACGGTCAAAGATATGCAAAAAAGAAAAAGATATTATTAACCACTTTACAGTTTTCCAGGCTTGCCAAAGAATGTGTCCCATCATGGGGTATCATCATCAGGTTCAAGCTATCACTCGCACCAATATGTGCTTACCAAGAATTCTGCTGCTAGGTAAGACTTGGCAAAATATTTGGTGTTGGAGACTTCGGTTATCTCACGAAACTATACTCAGATTAGGCAAATCCGAATCATCCAGCCAGTAGACAACTCACAATTGGACCTTTTAGATTGGGCTTCTTTTGAATTAGTTTATCCTGTTCAGAAAAACAAAATTAATAGGCACAAAAGAAAATTATTCATGTAGGACTAGTAATAGTAAACAAACGGAAGATAATTTCTTATTGATACCACTTCAGGAATTATAACATGGTATAACACTTGTTAATACACACCACTCTATTTTTAAACAGAAAAATATTATGACAAGAGGCGCCTAAAGAGAACAAAGGCATAACATATATATACACCTGCATTTATCATGTAACATCTCTCAAGCATCCTGCATTTCTTCATCCAAGAGTGTGCTCTTGATTGCCTTCTCATGATGGGCAAATCTCGGGTTACTAAAAGTCCAAATCTTACAACTGCAATGCCCATATAAAATTTTCCCATGTTGAGAAGGAATACAAAACTAATAATACAATAACAAGGGAAAAAACATTAAAAGGGTTCAGTTTCACCTTTAAAGCAGAGAAATGGTCCAGATCATTGTCAGTTTAGCAACCCTTCTAGTGACTCTTGCCAAAGAAACGTCAAACTGGATTTCGTGCAATGAATGTGTGCCTTGGCTTCCATGATTGTGAACTTCCACAAGAACTTATAAGGTCCTGACAAAGAGAGAAACAAAAGGTAATAGAAGCAAACAACAAGTATGCGTGAAATTACTGCAACCAGACCATTTACAAATCTACACAAGATGATAAATATAGCGTAAGAGGCAGGTGTAAGATGCGTACTGAATCCGGCCAGTAGACTACTCACATTTGGACCTTTTCGATTGGGCTTCTTTTGAATTAGTTTATCCTGTTCAAAAAAACAAAAACAATTGGCACAAAAGAAAAGTATTCATGTAGGACTAGTAATAGTAAACAAACGGAATATAATTTCTTATTGATACCACTTAGTTATTATAACATGGTAAAACACTTGTTAATACCCACCACTCTATGTTTAAACTGAAAAATATTATGACAAGGGGCGCCTAAAGAGAACAAAGGCATAACATATATATACACCTGCATTTATCATGTAACATCTCTCAAGCATCCTGCATTTCTTCATCCAAGAGTGTTCTGTTGATTGCCTTCTCACGATGGGCAAATCTCGGGTTACTAAAAGTCCAAATCTTACAACTGCAATGCCCATATAAAATTTTCCCATGTTAAGAAGGAATAGAAAACAAATAATACAATAACAAGGGAAAAAACATTAACAGGGTTCAATTTCACCTTTAAAGCAGAGAAATGGTCCAGATCATTGTCAGTTTTGCAACACTTCTAGTGACTCTTGCCAGAAAAACGTCAAACTGGAATTCTTGCAATGAATGTGCCTTGGCTTCCATGATTGTGAACTTCCACAAGAGCTTTTAAGGTCCTGCAGAATCAAGAAACAAAAGGTAAAAAGAAGCACACAACAAGTATGCCTGAAATTACAACAAACTGAGCATCCTGGAGCATCCTACAATATATCAATGTGTCATACTTCATGTAAGATCATAAACAAAATCACTGATTCAGGTTCCATGTTTCTAGAGTGTCTATGTTTTAATATCTGCTCCTGGAAGACAGTAAGGTATGTGTCATGAAATAGGACCTGAACTATTGATGATCTAATTCGCAGTGTAATCTAGAGAAGTATATGTAATCATGCAAAAAAAATGCAGATAAAAATGTTCAAAGGGAAGTAAAAAAAAATAGAACTGCATATCACACAAAGCATATGTAATTGAGCAACAAAAAACTGAATCTGTGGCTATTGGTGGTGAAATGAAAGATCAAATAAATAGAAACAACAAAAAACTATAAATTATTTGTGGTGGGTGAAAACTTACAAAACAATTTGGTTGAATAATTTCAAACCCTTGCTTTACGTACTACTTCAGTGCCATCACTCGACAAATAGGTCATTCCAAAACCTTATCTACTGCCTGAAAACTGAAAAGTAGTGAACTGATAAAGATATGCAAACATGAATAATATACTAATGACTTATCTTTACTTTTCCACGATTGATAAACTTACTTTAGGAACAATTGTTTTTGAAGGGCTAGGGTTTCACACCCGCGGAAGGTGAGACTGCTGACCTGATGGTCTCGAAGCATTCTTCTTGGCAGACCCATAGGTGTCGGCCATTTCATTTCTGCGATTGCTTCGCAGGCGGATGGTCGATTGAGCTTTGCACATGCAGAGGGTGACGGCTGACGGATGCGAAAGGACCTAATGGCCTCTCGAGGATGTCAAAAGAGCCGTTGGAGTGGTAATATATCAAAAGATCCGTGGAAGATATCGGAAGATGCGTAATATATTTGGAGATCAGTATAACAAATTAAGGCAAATATAACAAATTACGGGGCAAATTATATTTGGGGATAGGTAATATTTTCTCCGTTCTTAAATAATAAATGCAACGGTCAACATTTCACACTTGTCGAGACACAACTTTGACCATTAATATAAATGATTTTTATTAGTAAAAAAATTAAAAAAATTAGATTATGAAAATTACAATGAGACAAGTTTAACAATATTTTTTTCATAAAATAATATTATTACATTAATAAATAAAACGAAGTCAAAGTAGAACATGTGAATAGTATAAAAGTCAAAGTATTGCATTTATTTAAGAACGGAGGTATTATAATATTTGGTATAAAATGTGTGTAGTATACATGTCCCAATGGTTTCAATAAATAAAAACAAGCTTACACCCTCCTATCGATTCTTCTTTGTCACAGCAAGTCTTCAATCGTCTTTTTTTCCTTCATCACCCTTTGCTCGTTCTCACGCACACACTGCTTCATCTCTTAATTGTCGCCCACTCGTAATTACAAAGAATTGAAATTGTGGTTCGTTGTCTCTAGGTTGAACGCACGTGGTGTGTGACAACAAACTAAATTTATTTTATGTTTACAAAAGACCAAAACCAAATATATTTCGTTCTCTATGCATTCAAAATCTCTTTTATCCATCCAAAATAATATAAATGCATTAGAGAGAAGAGAAAGAAACTAACCTCAAGCTAAATTTTTTATCTTACAACTTGCAAGTGCAGCAACACATACTACATATGATCACAGTTACATTTAAATTTGAGAAAACTCTCAAATAGGCCCTCGTACTTTGGTCAATTCCTCAATTAAGCCCTCGTAGTTCCGAATCACCCAATCAAGTCCGCTTACTCAACAAAAACACCCAATCTGCCTTTTTAGCCGGTAGACGCCCGGTTAGTTAGTTAATGGCTGACATGGACTCCAACGTGTCCCTCCCTTACCGGGCATTTAATCTGACTTGGCTTTTCCCCACTTCAAAGCCTAAACGTTTGTAAAAATCCCCAAAACCCCAAATTCCCAAATTCCCCACTTCAAAGTTGGCACCTTCTCATTCTCCCTTCATATTGAGGCCTTCGCAAGTATGTCGTCTTCATCATCATCTACGCTTCTTGAAGTTTTCTGAATATTATTTCCTTGAATTCATTTACAAGAAGTACATAAGCTATTTATACAGATAGGAATCCTGAGAGAGTCTATTCAGCACCCTAGGTGACTGTCTAAATACTAAACATAAATGATTGAGAACTGAAAAGACAGCAGCTATTAAATACAACCTGAAGCACTAAAGATACATAATTACAGTAATAATAAGGAAAATAAATCATAGATTAATGATGTCTCTTCGTTTTATCAACACTCCCCCTCAAACTAGGTTTGTAGATATTCGTCATGCCTAGCTTGACAATAAGACCCTGGAACCTAGGACTGTGCAGAGGTTTGGTAAACACATCTGCAACTTGATCTTCTGAGGGAGTGTAGCTTAGTTCGATCAGACCTCCTTCAACCTTTTCTTTGATAAAGTGCCTATCAATCTCAATATGCTTGGTCCGATCATGTTGGACTGGATTATGAGCTATGTTGATTGATGATTTGTTATCACACCTCAATTCCATTGGTCCTTTCCACTTGATTTGTAAATCTAAGAGAATAATTCTGATCCATAGAAGTTCACATAAGCCATGGGCAAGAGCTCTTAGCTCAGATTCAGCAGATGATCGTGCCACAACCTTCTGTTTTTTGCTTCTCCATGTCACGAGGTTTCCTGCTAGGAAAACACAGAGATCAGTAGTTGACCGGCGGTCAACGAGGGAGCCACCATAATCTGCATCAGTGAAGGTTTGGACTGATAATTGCCCACCCTTCCTGAATATTATCCCTTGCCCTGGACTTCCTTTAAGGTAGTGAAGAACCCTATAGGCTGCTTCTAGATGTGGTTTCCTTGGATCATGCATGAACTGACTCAAAACACTAACTGCATAGGCAATGTCAGGTCTAGTATGAGAGAGATAGATAAGTTTGCCACACAAGCGCTGATACATTGATGAATCAACCTTGGGTTCATTTATTAAAATGTGTTGCGGCGTTCATTTATTGTATACGTTATATATTTTAATGATTTGGAAAATTTCCATTAACATGTTAATGTGTACAGGTTGGGAGTTGCGGTTTTTCTTATGGAAGGAAGATGTAGGCATACGACACATTGTGAGGGCTGAAGAAAAGAAGAATATGACAGGGCTGAAGCGAAGAGCGAAAGTGCAGATGATTTGAAAAAAATGGTCGAAGGACTTGTCCTAAAGATTTCGCTAGTACAATTGATGTTGGTTAAGTCAAAACTGTTGTTGACAATGAGGCGAAGGTCAACAAACAGAGTAGGAAGTTGTATGGGTTTACTATGATTGTACTTCTTGCTTTAGTAGGTAGTGTGTATTTGAGGATGTAAGCTTGGAACAATGTGTACTGTTTTAAAATTTCTTAGTAATGCAATGGATTTGAATGCCAGAAGTTGTATGGCACAATGTTCCTTTATTTAATTATTAAGAACTTGGTTGTTTGTGGAGCTCTCCTGTGCATCCGTGTTATAGCACAAATTATACCGTGGGATCAGTATAACTTCTGCATGGTATACCGGTCCCAATACGACGTCGTTTCAATAAATAAAAATAAGGTCGCACCCTCCTATTGATTCTTCTCTGTCACTGCAAGTCTGCAATCGTCGTTTTTACTTCATCACCCTTCGCTCGTTCCCACGCACACACTACTTCATCACTCAATTGTCGCCCACCAGTAATCACAAAGAATTGAAATTGTGGTTCATTGACTCTAGGTTGAACACACGTGGTGTGTGACAACAAACTAAATTTACTTTATGTTTCCACAAGATCACAATTACATTTTAATTACTATAATATATTCCTTTACTTCTTTTAAAAGTTTTAGTGTTTTCTAAGACATTAAATTTGTTTATTTCAATTTACATTTATCAAACAGGAAATTACATCTTCTTATGAAAAATTTACATTTTTCATGTGTAGGAGTTACATCTTTTTATAAGCGAGTTGCATCTTCTTATGCGCGAGTTACATCCTTTTCGTTTGCTTTTTCTTCTGCTTTATTTTCCTTTTCTTCAATTCTTTTCTCCTCCTCCATCAAAATACTAAAAATTAAATTGTATTACTTTAATTTACTTTTATCTTCAACTTAAATTATCACTCAATCTATTTTTGTATAAATTCATAATAAAAAATTTATTAATTTAAATGAAAAGTGTATTGCATTTCATATTCATACACTATTTTTATCTTTGTAACTTTTTTATTCATACACTTATAATATACTTGTATATTTAATCTCATTTATATCTTTTAGAGAGTTTTAAGACATTGAGTTGTTTATTTCCAATCATCCAGTTATATTTGGTTGTATATGAAGTTACACCAAAGTTGTATATTAAGTTGTATAATATACTTCTTATGCGTGAGTTATATCTTCTTATGTGTGATTTACATCTTCCTATGCGCGAGTTACATTTGGATTTTCCTCAAAAAATTACATTTTGCATACACCTAAATTAAATTTTCCATAACACGAATTACATAACAAAATAAAGCCTGCTATTGAAACTAAAAAATTGCCCAAAATTGATGTTTTGGTAAAAAAAAAAGACTTTTGGGGAACATTTTCATGGCCTTAATATTTAAAACAAAACATATTCACTATTTACGTAAAGTAATTGACCAATCAGATTCCTTGTTTTCATTGTCTAAATTGAAATCAATGTTTTACTCCTTATACTCCGTATTAGACAAGTTACATTTTGCCTTTGCCCCGCAGTTACATTTTTTATCAGCTTAAGTTACATTTCTCTACACCCGTGTTTTGGGCTTGGGAGCATCATGCTCCCACGGTATACCAATTGATATTATAGAGTGTTTTGGTGCATTCAACATATGGCTATATATGATTGGAGACATTCCCACGTAAGCAACTTCAATTAAAAAAATTAAAAGGTTGCACAGTTAACCTCACACAATAGAAAAATTCTATATGCGCCGCCTTTCACTTGTCCAGTTTTTGGCTTTTCTCTGTAGAAGTGCCCGTCTCCTTCGAGTCCTTCATTTTCTTTTTCACTTCTAACACCAAACATGACAGATTAGAAATTAGTTTGAGAAACCACCTTCCCGAATTGCTTGTAGAAACCCTTTCTTTATGAATAGTTTCAGAATTGTTCTGTGTCGAAATGAAGCTCCCAACCAGAGCTAGGTTGAAGGATTTGATGTTAAATCCAATCATATTTTTCATCAACAAAACTCCCGCCACGTAAGATTAACCTCTTTCTTCTGAAGTTATGTGAAACAAAAAGAAACCCCCAAACTGCTTATGTTTTTTGAAAATTATTTTAAAGTAAAAATCTAATTATGACTTAAACAGAAACATGTTTGAAAACTGTGAATTGCTTATGAGAATATTAGATGCCTGCTATTTCAAAAGTTGACAATATTTCCTCCAAGAATATTTCCTATCAAGGAACTCAAATGTTAATAAAATATAAAATATGAAGTATGAGTGATGATTTTTTTATTTATATGAACATGCATGTCGTATGAATAACTGAGTTCAAAGCTTGTTTATGCAACGCCCTCAAGTTGAACAATGAGCTCAGTTTTTGATTTGATGCATCATACAATTTTCTTAATGAAAGTTTATAACATTTACTTCTTATGGAGCTGTGCAAGAATTTTTGAAACAATTTAGTTAAACTGATCGCGAACATCCTCAATTAAGCTAAAAAGCATGAAATAGATTGATGCAAACATAGTTAATTTTTAATTTGTTGTACTTGAACAAATATTGACCATTAAAACCTAATCTGATTCAGAAACCAAA